TTCGCTGCACCTTTCCAGAGTCTCCCACTTGATGCGCCGATCCACAACTTTAAACCAGGTGACCAGGTCCTGGTACAGAAGTGGAGAAAGGATCCTCTTGCGGAAACGTGGGAGGGACCCTACCAGGTGCTGCTAACTACACACACAGCTGTTCGCTTATCAAACAGCGATAAGTGGACCCATTGCTCGAGGGTGAAGCCTTTTCATTAGGAGAACACCAACTCCCAGGGTGTGGTCACTCCAAAAGCTGATAACACCTGGGAACAAAAAGCCAACAAATGGAAAAGTGAACCTGCTGGAGGTTTGAAGTTACGCTTGCAAAGATGTGAACCCTAGTCTATTTGTTGGGACTCTTGTCCCTTTTAGGTATATCGAACCCAAAGGTTATGTCCACCTGTTGTACTTGTTCTCAAAACGAGCTTGCAACCCTCAGTAAGGCTCAGTATGACTGCAAAATCGCTTAGCTCTTGATTATCTGCTCCTTCAGCCCCTGTGCAGCCTTGCTTGCCAGGCCTTCCCCATACAGAAGGCAGACATCCTGAGGGTGCAAAAGAAAAACGTCAGCACAACAAGCACAGAAAACAACGAAGGGCAAAGCACAAATAACTGCCAGACTTCGACAACCCCACACGGCTCCAAGCAAGCATTTACCAACTTCAGGATCTGCCCATCCAACACCAACGCACCGTGCAGCATCCTGTTCCTCCAGCTTCACCCTCTGTGGGCACAGCTCCGCTCCACTCGCTGAGCCACTGTACATTTCCCTCCACGCAGGCCAGAACCCTAGAAGGGACAAAACAGGCAGTCGCCGCAGGGACACAACTGAACAGAAGAAGGAACCCACAGGTACAATTCCCACCCCACACACCCAGGCACCGGGTCAAAGCGCTCCAAAGGGGTGCTCAGCTAAGATGCACCCCATCCAGCCGCAGAAAAGGCCCCACCCCTGACAGGCAGCCCTCACCACGCCAGGTGTTATGCTACTCCTTCTTCAGTCCTCACTTGTCCCCGCTTCACTTCCTCTCCTCTCACAGGGTGCAGGAACCTCCTGAGGGCACACGGGAAACTTCGTGACCTAACAAAAGTGCAAGGCACAAGCAACTGCCCCGCTGCAAGACAATCCCACACCACTCCAACTAAGCTCTTACCCGCCAGAGGCTCTGCCCATGCAAGCAGCTCCAGCCAACAGACTGAGGCCTCACTCCTGGTGACCCAAAAATGACCACAGGTGCACAGCCGCCCGCTTCCTCCACCTCCTTCTACATGGTGCCGGATCTACATCTCTTCTTCTCTACCACAGCTCCTGTCCACTCAAGTCCAAACAATGGCATTGTGGTGGGAGAAAACACCCTGGGGTTCATTGTCTAGCTGCATAGGAACTAGACAACACGGGTAAAGTTTACTGCAGTTTATTTGCTCGAGCAATGACCATAAAGCCAGCAAAGAGGCAAAATGGCCCCCCCTCAAGGGTGGGGCGATCTTTTATACTTTTTACAACAAGGCAAGACTACAGGGTTAACAAAAAGCAATACTTGGGCGGTGCTTCACAGATCTTCAGAACAGCATATTTCTATTAAGCTGAACTAGCACTTTCTAAAAGGTAAAAGTTAAGTAACAGTAACATTATGATAGGTTAGCAAAAACTTGCACAGTAGTAGATACTTCTTAAGGACACGATCACTGTACTTAGAACAATGGCTTCTTTGTGTTATCTTGTTCCTTGGTGTATCTGGTTTACAGCACATAGACACAGATTCACTTGCTGCATTTTACTCAGAAAATGGTTAACACAGTTAAAATGATTACTTGACACAAGCAAAGGCTTAGCTATCATTCTGCCTTGTGGTCAGCGGCATTGCTAGGCCACAGGTCATGCCTTGTATTCAGCTGTAAAGCTAATACTTCTTAAAAATCCAAATTATTGTTAACCTAACTATTTTATTTCAGGGTAATAACAAACATGCTCACCACAGCATCACACCCAAAACAACAAGCAATTACGACATGGAACACAAATCACATCTCACATTACGAAGCAGAACCCCCCCACCACCTCCAACCCAGGACTCCAGACACAGCACATACCCACCCCCAAACAAGCAACACAGGGTGCAGTCAGACCCCTCCCAAATGAGGGGACCAATTTAAGTGCCAACACAGCCCTCCTTCCAGCTCTGGGAAGAGGAAAGGAAGAACAAGAAGTGCTGCAGTGATATTAAAAATCCAAGTAGAAAGAAACACCAGTGACAAACGAAGAAAGACAGAAAAAAGTGCAGTTCCCAGAACTGAAGGGAGGCCACTGGCACCAGCAACAGGCAGGCAGAGGTAGAGACGCAGGTACCCGCTCCTCTGCCCCACCACACCCAGGGATAAGATCTGCACCCAGATGCCAGGACCAAACCCTGAAAACCCCTGTACACTCAAAGGCTATTTTCAGCCTTTACAAACAGAGCCAGGACTCGCACACAGACTAAACCCAACCCAGGCATACACCACCCAGCTTTGGGGCACGCCAGGAGGCCAGAACCCCCCTGGAAGCAAGAAGCTCCAGCCACTAGGCGTTTGCTCCCTCACCCAAAAAACTCCAGGGCAGAAACCACTCGCCACCCCCCACACCGCTCCCTAACCAAGCCCACCTTTAAGCATTCTGTTCCTTCATCTTCCATCACCATGGCACAGCAATTCCCTGTATCCTTCTTCCCCACAACATAGACTGTGCTGCAAAAAGAACAGAAACCTGGTTAGCCCAAAGAGGGGAAGTAAGGGCACAAAGCTAGAGACAAGGAAAGCTCCTGTGCAAACACCCAGCAGACACATCCAAACCCGCTACTCGCTAGCTGAGCTCTCAAAGGCTCGTCTGTGGCTGCCCAGAGCTGAATGTTCACAGGTAATCAAAAAGCGATGCACTACAGCAACCACCATACACACGGTACAACCTGCAAAGGTACACACACAAAACCTCCTGCAAACATGATAGAACAAGCGTGGAAGGAGGAGTCAGACAGGAAGACAAATGCATGACATTGCTCCAAGGAAGCTCAGACCCACCGCAGGTTACAGCCAGGTGATACCACATGGGCAGAGGCCTGGCACCACACAAAATCGGGAAATCACAAGACAGCTGTGCATTTCCTCGTCTGCCATCTCTGGGGCTCTTCACTTCGTCTTCCCAGTGTCTGCTTCACAGGCCTGAAGCCTTGGCAAGAGGGCTCCTCCCCACACACACACACACAAGAGACACAACTCAGAGGCCTCACAGCACTGGCGGCAGTAGACCCTCCTTGCCAAGACCCCACGGGCAACTTTTTTTTAAACCACCCCCTGCCATAGCTATGAGGGTGCAGCCAGAGCCCTCTCAGGGCTTTCCCCTATCAAGCAAGGGAAGCAATTTAGATGTGCAAACACGGGTCAGCTGCCAGTTCTGGGAAGAGCAGAGAAAGGCTGCAGCAACTTTGAAGAAAACAAGACAAACAGAAAGGCACACAGACACAGGACAAGCCATTCCCAGCACTGGTGGCAGAGCCTGTGGCAATACAAACAGCTAGGCAGTAACTCAGACAAAAAACATGTGGCCCAGCACAACCTGGGTAGGGCCAGACACCAGCACCCAAATACTGGAGCTAACCCAGCTGAAGGATCCAGAACAGCTAGTGGCAGGGATGCTCAAGCCTCATGTAGAGCCAGATGAGGGATCCCTGACCACAGCGTGCCACCACAGAAGGAGGAAGGGAACCTCAAACCCCACAACACCCTGCCTCAGCCTTCCCATCACACCCAGACAACCCCTCCCCACCTTCCCAAACACAAAACACCTTCTAGCATCCTGATCCTCTGGCTCCGTTAGCACTTCTAGTCTCCAGTCCCTTTGCCCTCGCCCTTTCCTTCCACACACACCAGGACCCTCGAGAGAACAGAGAAGAAGCATTCACCCCAAGGGAAAGAACAAAACACGGGACAAGGGAACCACTGGGGAAACTCCCACCCCACACATGCAGCCAAGGGAGCATCTCAACACACTGCACAGGGTAGGCAGACAGCAGGGGGAAGGCCTCAGCCCTGAGAGCCAGCACCCACCACAGCTGGCATCACACTGCACCACCAGCCATCGCGTGTCCCTGCCTGCCAGCCCCCCTTAACTCCAGAGGCCCGCACCTGCTGCAGGCACAAAGGAAAAACCCCAGCACAAAGAACTACAAAGGGCAAATCAGAAATAACTACCAGACTCAAACAACCCCAGATGACTCCAAGCAAGCTCTTACCAACTACTGGATCTGCCCATCCAGCGCCAACACACCTCACGGCATACGATTCCTCCCGCCTCAGCCTCCGTGGGCACTGCTCGGCTCCACTCCCTGAACCGGCATTCATTTCCCTCCATGCAGGGCAGGATCCTATGACGGACAGACCAGGCAGTTCACCCCAAAGGGCACAAATGAACAAAAGCAGGGACCATCAGGTACAATTCCCACACCACCCACCCAGCTCAAAGCTCCCCAAAGGGTGTCTGGCCAGGGCACACCCCTCCAGCCATGACAAAAGCCTCAGCCCTTAGAGACAACACTCACCCAACCTGGCATATTTCTGCTCCTTCTCCAGCCCAGCCTTGTCCCTGATTGCCTTCCTCTCTGCACAGGCTACACGGGCACCTCCTGAGGGCACAGAGCCAACGTCACTACCAAACAGAAGGGCAAAGGACAAACAACTGCCCCCTGGAACACAATCCCACACTGCTCCAAGTAACATGTTACTCATTGCACGCTGTGTTCATGCACACAACTCCAGCAAAAGGGCAGAGGCCTCCTTCCAGGTGACCCAGAAGTCACCATCAGTGCGCAGTCGCCTGTGTCCTCCACCTCCCAAAACATTGTGGCTCTAGGTCTCTTTACCTCTACCTCGGGAGATAGAAAGCATCTTTGAGGGGGGAGATTGTAGTACAAATACATTAGATTTTAGACATAGGACTTGAAATTAGATGTGATGCTTTATTTTTTTTGCAATATGCTTCTGTATTTAACATAGCTTGCTGACAGCTTATGCATATGGGTTAAGGACAGCTTTACACATAGAGTTTCAAAACCGCACCTGTTCAATGACCTAGAATTACACAAAGATAAGGGGTTACTAAAGGGCATTGAGTTTACCACAGCTTCCCCAACACGCATGCGCCTTCATCTATCCCATAATAAGTTGAGTCTAACTTAAAAGGCCCTGACATCCTGTGGAAACTTAGACGTAACGGTGAAATTGCGAAACTGCCAATAGTTATGAGGCACGCTACAGTTCTTTGTTTAGGTAAGCTATAAAAGACCCTCAGACAAAGACTGAGGGTCGACACCGCTTTGGGTTATTCAACCCCTCTGTCGACCGATTGCGCAATCAATAAACTTGTAATGGACTCAGCCTGAGTGTGACTCCCTCCTTGAGGTATTTGGGAAAGGCCTCCAGGGGCACGAAACTAGCAATTTGTGCAACACCCCAAAACAACAAGCAATTATTACATGGAAGAGTACTCATCTCTCAGAGTAGTAAAGTGAAGACCCATCCCTTCCCCCCGCCCCCGTCCCAGCCCAGGGCTGCAGAAGCAGCACACGGCCAACCCCTCCCAAACACGGGAGGCAGGGTGCAGTCAAGCCCCTCTCCACAGCGGGGCATCAATTTAGGTGCCAACATGGCCCTCTTTCCAGGTCTGGGAAAAGCAAAGGAAGAATAAAAAGTTCTGCAGTGATTTTAAAAATCAAACTAGAAAGAAAGACCAGTGACAAACCCAGAGAGACAGAACAAAGTGCAGCTCCCAGAACTGAAAGGAGGCCAGGGGCAGCACAGGTAGGGACACAGGCACCCGCTCCTCTGCCTCAGCAAACTCAAGGGCAAGATCTGCACCCGCATGCCAGGGGCAAACCCTGAAACCACCTATATACTTAAAAGCTATTTTCAGCCTTTACAAAACGACAAGGACTCACAGGCAGCCTAAACCCAACCCAGGTTGCCCCAGGGGCAACCCAGGAGGCCAAAACCCTGCTGGAAACAAGAAGCTCAAGACACTGTGTATCAGACATTAGGGGTTTCCCCCCCTCACCCAAAAAAGCCCAGGGCAAACAATGCTCACCCCCCCCCCACACACACACACACTCTAACCACACCCACCTTTACACATTGTTTTCCTTCATCTTCCATCAGCATGGCACAGAACTCCCTGCACCCCTCTTCCTCCACAAGATACATACAGGCTTCTAAAAAAGGAACAGAAACCTTGTCAGCCCAAAGAGGGGATGCCAGGGCACAAAGTTAGAGACAGGGAAAGCTCCTCTCCCACCCTCCAGCACACACATCCAGCCCCCCTGCTCACTACCCGAGCTCTCAAACGCTTGTCTGCGGCCTCCCGGAGCTGGATAGTCACAGGCACTCAAAACGTGAAGCATCACAGTCACCACCGTACACACACCGTGACCTGCAAAGATACACATGCAACAGCTCCTGGAAACATGAAAGAACAAGTGTGGAACAAGTGGTCAGACAGGAAGACAAAGACATCACACCGCTCCAGGGAAACTCAAACCCACCGCAGGCTCCAGACAGGTGACGTCACAGGGGCAGAGGCCTCACACCACACGAACTGGGAAGTCATGAGACAGGTGCCCATTTCCTCCTCCGCGATCTCTGCGGCTCTTCACCTCGTCTTCAGTGCCTGAAGCCTTGGCGAAGTGGCTTCTGTGCACACAGACACAGACAAAACACAGGAAGACACTTGCCACTGTTAACAACTCAGAGGCCTCACGGCACTGCGGACAGCAGAGCGTCCCTGCCAAGACCCCACAGGCAACTTTTATTTTTTTTAACCCCCCACCCATAGCTGGGAGGGTGCAGGCAGAGCCCTCTCCGGGTTCGCCCCTTGCAAGCAAGGGGAGCAATTTATATGTGCAAACACAGGTCTCCTGCCAGTTCTGGGAAGAGCAGAGAAAGGCTGCAGCGACTTGGAAGACAACAAGACAAACAGAAATGCATACAGACACAGGACAAGCCCTTCCCGGCACCAGGGGAAGGGCCTGTGGCAAGACAAGCAGCTAGGCAGAGACACACACCATCTTCTGGCCCAGCAAACCCTGGACAGGGCCAGGCAAAGGGTTAGGGTTATGGAATGGGTGCACATATCAATCATAGTCCAGGTTAGGGTTAGGCTGAGTGTTAGGGTTAGGGAACGGGTCTGCAAAAGAATCTGGTCCTGGGTTAGGGAATGGGTGTACAAGTGGATTCGGGTCCAGTTTAGGGTTAGGCAAAGCGTTACAGTTAGGGAACGGGTGTACAAGTGGATTGGGATCCAGGTTAGGGTGAGGCAAAGGGTTAGGGTTAGGGAACAGTTCTACAAGTGGATTGGGGTCCAGGTTAGGGTTCGGCAAAGGGTTCGGGTTAGGGAACAGGTCCACAATGGAATCCAGGTCTGGGTTAGGGTTAGGCAAAGGGTTAGGCTTAGGGAATGGGTTGGGAGATGAATCTTATCCTGAGTTAGGGTTAGGGAACAGTTCCATCAATGCATTGGGGACCAGGTTAGGGTTAGGGAAAGGGTTAGGGTTACGAAATGGTTCTAGAAGTGGATTGGGGTCCGGGTTAGGGTTAGGCAAAGAGTTAGGGTTAGGGAACGGGTCCACAAGCAGATCGGGGTCCAGGTTAGTGTTAGGCACAGGTTTAGGGTTAGGGAACAGGTCCACATGCGGATCAGGGTCGAGGTTAGGGTTAGGCACAGGGTTAGGGTTAGGGAACGGGTGCACGAGTGGATTGGGTCCAGGTTAGGGTTAGGCACAGTGTTAGCATTAGGGAACGGGTCCACAAGCGTATCGGGGTCCGGGTTAGGGTTAGGCACAGGG